GTCTGTTGTGCGTCTACTATGGCGTCTGGTGAAAATCATAAGCGTGGCCGATAAGAGCTGTCTTGATCGGCCCCACGGTGGGCGCCAAATGTTCTTACCGAAAATCTGTTGTAGAGCTGATCCGCCAGGTAAGATCGGTGAGCCTCCTTCACTGGTACGTTGATGCTCCAAGATGGGGGTGGTACCTGCAAAAGAGACTCCGATGCTAAAGTTAGTGTTTGTGTGAGTATTAGTCTCGTATAAGTAATGCACGTACCTTAGTGTGAATTAGGGTTATTTTGGGCCTTGGGCCTGAGATAAGATATGATAAGATTAGATAGTGGATCTCGTATGAAGCGAGATCCTTCGAGATCAGTTATGATCTGCTTAAATGCCGAGCTCGCGTAGCGCGTGCCCGACCTCATCTTGTGCTGTGATGCCGAGCTCGGAGCTTGGCTTCGCGGTACAGACAGTACAGATAGTTTAAAAAAACTATAACTAGATAAAAAATAATTGAAGCCTTTTAAGAAAAAGATAAAAAAAAAAAAATTGAAGACAGAAAATAAAATTTTAAATTTTATGATGACTAAAAATTAAGAGTTGAGAATTTTGTAACAAAAAGTATTTTTAAATCGACACAAACATTTTGCTACCTAACACCATCTTTACCTAATAGAGCATACTTGATGACATAGACGAAAATTAACTAAAAATAGAAAACACATATACTTTGGTAGATAAGAATTAAGAGGGAGATCTCATTAAAAATTTAAGAATCTTTTTTTTTTTTTTTTCTCGAATGAGATGTCAAAGTGGATGGAAATGCAAAATGTAAATAACAATGGGTTAATATGTTTGGATTGGAGTCGGGAAGCCACATACATAATCACTTTTCACGTATTCTAATACTCTAAACAGAAAAACAACAATACATGTGGATTGGAAAAAAACATAGATTATGTTGGATCAACGTTTTTCAAACACAATATCTTTCATTGTAATCTTTATTTGTTGCATGCATATAGGTATATTCAATCGGACCTATGCATCACTTGCTTACCTAGTTAAGACAAAATCCTAATAATTTAACTTTAAAAACTATAAATATTTACTGTAATTAATGTAATGATATCGAGATGTTTAAAAATTATTTCTAGAGAATCTAGAATTATGACACATTTTTTTAGGTGTTTTGTACATGGATGACTATCTACTTTTGTAGAATGTTTTCCATACCTAAACACTAATGAATGTCTAGAAATATAAGAAATTAAACATAAAGTTGTGTATTAAAAATTATATTTAGTGGTCAAAGAAAGCACCCAAGGATAAATCTTAGTAAGTAACCATGGCCACAACATTCACTTTAAGTTATCCGTCGTCCTTTTTGTCTTTTTAATTCTATCTTATACGTGCCTCTTCCGTAATGTAATTCCCAAAAGGTGGTCCAAATCTCGCACTGATAGGATAATTAAAGGTAATTAAACACTAAATCCTAATGGCAAAATAAATGCATACAAACCAAAATAATAGGTACGTCTACTATATTGATATGTGACCGATCTACCCTTGTTGAGAAGGTTCTCGATCTAGGAGGGCACACACACATTTAAGTTATAAAACAATTTAATATTAATTTTTAAATAATTAAAAAAGATTAAATATTCTTGAAGCCTAAACCCTTAACACATTCACGGTGAAGTTGAACATAGCCAAGTTCACAAAATTGTTCCCTTAACAGATGTCAGTAGCATAGACAGCTGAGCATAATAATATTCTTTAAAGCCATTGGTTCAGATTTGATTAGAGAAAAATTGGTAACGGAAAGTCACAAAAAATTAAAAAAAATAATCTGGTAGCAGAAAAATAATAAATAGGGTGGGACAATGTTGTGAATCGTTGACTGCGACCCACAAGAACATGTAAAAATGAATCTAGACCTCATTGCGTCCAGTGTTGGTGATTATTAAGGTTTAATGTCTTGTTTAGATTTTATGGCCCCAACCCAACTTTCCCATTCCACGTTGAACGCGTTAATTGCTACATTCGCATATTCATTTGCATTTGCATTTGCATAGTCCTCACGCTACCAACACTCTGCTCTCTCCTTAATTACATCCAGGTTCATCCACCATCGCTTCTTTATCTACCTTTCTTTCTTCTTTTCATATCTCATAATTCATAATTCCTTCTCTTTACCTTTCTTCACTCTTCTCTATCTGCTCTGCTCTGCTCTACTCCCATGTATTCTCTTTCTACCTCAACACATTCCTCATCGTCATTCCCCTGTTCCTCTGTTTCATTCCCCTGTTCTCTCTGTTCCTGTAGTAGTTGTTGTTGTTGTTGCTGCTGTACCGACCCATAACCTCAATTCCGCTCAAAGTGCAAACTTTTCCCCTTTCCAATTTCGGGTCAACCCATGGACTCTCATCCGGGTCTATCTCTCGGGCTGAGCGCCCCTCTCTCGTCACCGGCAGCAACACTCTGTGATTCCTCTGTTCCGTGGCGGATATTCAATGAACGACGCGCCAAAGAAGAAGAAGAAGAAGAAGAGGAAGAAGAAGGGAGCGAAACGATCAACTTCATGGACCAGCGCGTGAAGAGGAAGGCAGAGGGTCACCAACACTCGTGTTTCCCTTCGAAGCGCGTGGCGGTGGATTCCGCAGTGGGGTGGTGGAACCAGCCACTGGGCGTGGCGGACCCCGAGATTTTCGACATCATGGAGAAGGAAAAACGGAGACAGTTCAAGGGAATTGAATTGATCGCTTCGGAGAATTTCGTGTGCAGGGCAGTGATGGAAGCTTTGGGGAGCCATTTGTGCAACAAGTACTCTGAGGGAATGCCTGGTGCGAAATACTACACGGGTAATCAGCACATTGATGAGATTGAGTTTCTGTGTTGCCAGCGTGCGTTGGTGGCGTTTGATCTTCACCCTGGCAATTGGGGTGTTAATGTTCAACCGTATTCTTGTACTTCTGCTAACTTTGCTGTGTACACTGGGATTTTGCATCCCGGGGATAGGATAATGGGTTTGGATTCGCCTTCTGGGGGGCATTTGAGTCATGGTTATTATACCCTTGGGGGGAAGAAGGTTTCTGCGGCCTCTATTTTCTTTGAGACTTTGCCCTATAAGGTGAATCCGCAGACTGGTTATATTGACTATGATAAGCTTGAGGAGAAAGCCTTGGATTTTAGGCCCAAGATACTTATTTGTGGGGGGAGTTCGTACCCCAGGGAGTGGGATTATGCCAGGTTCAGGCAGGTTGCTGATAAGTGTGGAGCCGTGTTGATGTGTGACATGGCTCATATCAGTGGTCTTGTGGCGGCTAAGGTGCTTGCTCCCTTGTCTCTGTTTAAATTATGTTAACGATTTTGTAATTGTTTATGCTTTTTTGAATGTGGATGGAGCTCTGATTCAGGTTTCCTTGGAGGCCAGACTGTAGAGGTAGTTGTATTATATGTTTTAAAACTAGTATGATAGAGTTGCGTAGACTTGACATCTTTAGCTTTAGGTCCGTTTAGATAAACTTTTCTATGATTACTTAAAAGAGAAGAAAATAAGAAGATAAAATAAATTAAACTTCTCTCATTAGTTAAAATTTACTTATGCATCTTTGTTTGTGGTGAAGTTAGATGAGATGATTTCGATAAAAGATGTGTACATAAGTTGACTTCAATTAATAAGAGAAGTATAATTCATTTACCTTATGTTCTTCTCATATAAATACTTATTATTTGAAGAAAATAAATAATTTAATATAATTTGATATTTAGCTATGGTGCATACTACTAATGGGTTTGGCTCCTCTAAACTGAGGGATATGTAAGTGTTGATTAAAAAACAATTTAGATTGTGATTATTAACTGTGAAATTGTTAAAATCTGAATAGTTGATTTTTCAATCAACAATAACCTTTCTTTACCATCTAAAGTGTTGTGAGGAACTGTTGAGACAAGGATAAAAATTCTTGTATAGTTCTAGAGATTGGGAAAAACCAAAAGCAAATTGCCTACTCTTTCTTTGTTTTTCCCTATCCTACCCAGAATTTTAAAATGCTTGGATTTTGATGAAATTGCCTTTTGAATGGAAATTCTATATGAAATTGTATAATGGTTTTTATTTTCATTAACCACCTCTGTGAAACATAAAAGTCAGTGTGGTTTACTGATTATGTTTTGGGTGGAAGTTGAATTTCCTGTGTTGACTGGGAAATATGCATGGATTAAAATTGTATATATAATATATTTAATTGAAGATATGTCATGTGTTTCAACTCTGCTACAGTTTTGGCATTCCTTCATTTCTAAAATGGTTGTGTGCCAAATGTGCTGTTCCCTTTATTTGTTTGGCTCTTTGCATAGGGTTCTGATTTTCTATTATCTGGCTAAATGTGCTTTAAAGTATATTAATGGTATTTTTTTTACAGGAAGTAGCTAGTCCGTTTGACTACTGTGATATTGTTACCTCAACCACCCACAAAAGTCTCCGAGGTCCAAGGGGAGGCATCATCTTCTATAGAAGGGGGGCAAAACCAAGGAGGCAAGGTTTCGTCCATAATTATGGAGATGACAGTAATTATGATTTTGAGGAGAAAATAAACTTTGCTTTGTATCCATCATTACAAGGAGGCCCCCACAATAATCATATTGCTGCACTTGCCATTGCTTTTAAACAAGTTGCAACTCCAGAGTACAAAGCATACATGCAGCAGGTGAAGAGAAATGCACAGGCATTAGCCTCTGCCTTGTCGAGAAAAAATTGCAGATTAGTCACTGGTGGGACTGACAATCATCTGTTGCTATGGGATCTAACAGCACGTGGCTTAATTGGTAATTTTTTCAATCAGCCTCTATTCTTATTTTGCAAATATATTAAATTCTAACTGAATTTGAAATGCAAATGCCTTTTTTTTGCTGTTAATAATAATGGGTTATATTTTGGTGTACTAGCATCTAGAAATGGAAAGTTATACTAACATAGAAGTGGCTTAGGTTGTTTGGATTAACTTTTCTAGAAGCACTTTTAGGAGGGAAAAATAGGAAGGAAAATCAAAATAAGTTTTTCCATAAGTTAAAGTCAGTTATGTTTGAGTTAAAAATAAGATTTTGGAGAAACTAATAGGAGAGAATTTCTATAGAACAGCTCATGCATACACTAATTTTAGTGTATGGAGAAGCTTTTTTAGTTTTCCTTCTTATTTTGCTCTTCTAGAAGTGTTTCTAGAAAAGTTTATGCAAACAAACCCTTAATTTCATGGTTTTGTCCTAATAAATTAAAGTTGTATGCTCATTCTACTTGACCTTGTTAGGTATTTCAATGCAAGTTAATCTTAATTTCATTTTACATAACTTCACTGAAGACATACATAAAATGTTTTTAGTTTAAAATTACCTATTATCATATTACAATTGAGTAAATCATATTACCTTTTTAACCCTAAACCCTAATTAGTATCTAACTAGATCAATACTTACCTAATTTTGTGAAATGTGTACACACTGAGCTTATGTAAACTATGGACCTCACAACTTGTGTATAGAAACCAAAGCATATAATAATTATATAACTATAACAACTACCGGTCCTTATCCCACCGGGTAAGCTTTAGTACTTATTATAAAAATAACTGGGAACAATAACTACAATGTAAGCTAATTTGATTTGGCATGTTTTCATTTTGCCACCATGTGGTTTAAACTTCAAAGTTCAAACATACTGGTAGCACTCTTTCCT